TTGTAAATTATGAGATAAGATTCTTTTGTACAAATATGATTTTGTTTTCTTTCTCTTTCTTGTTCCCTTTAGAAATAAAAATAACAACTGAAACTTAGAACAATTTTAAACATCTCATTATACCAGGGATCTTGCAAAAGATAAAATCAACGAATGCAAAGCCATGATGCCACACGGTCCCCTGCACAGATTTGTGAGCGGGCTGTCTACAGGGTCTTGGAGCCTCAGGGCGGGAAGACTGGCCATTGACCTTCTCATGGAATCTTCCCCCTACCCCAGCAGGCTTCCTCAGAATCGTTCCAGATGGATGGGTCATGAACTGATTTTTAAATATCTCTCAGGATGGGTATTTCTCACATCCTCTGGCAAACTCAGAACTTCCCTGGAAGTTCTTCCTTTATTGCCCTTGAATTCCCCCAAGCCCATTAAGTCACTCATAGAGATGTGAAGGGCAGTGGATTATTATATTCTATGTACTCAACTTTTAAATTTTCAAAGGCTGCTGTTAAGTGACCCTCTACCATTTTCAAAGATAAAAAAAAAAATCTCAATTAGTGAATAATTTTTTTCATAACAATAATTGTTATTATTTTATCTTTTGAAGGCTCACCACCTATTTTCAGAAGACCCTTGGTATGGAGAAGAGTGTGCTAACCTAGAAAGAGCACGGTATATTAAGATTACCTCTGAGATTGAAAATGGACCTCAAACCCCTCAGGAAAGTTTGACTGGTCACTACTGACATTTTATCTAACAGAGCTGAGGTGTAACCTAGGGACAGGTATTGAATAATATTGGGGAGAAGGGAGCTGCGATCTTGATTCCATTACCTTTAAATGGCAGCTTCATCTCTCTGCCTTCATTTCCACTATCTCCGGCTGTGCTGCCATTTTACCTCCGGGCTTCGTTGCCACCAGGTGTCTCTGAACTTTGCTTACTTTACAGAGCTAATACTCAGTAACTGAAAGGTCCAACTCTTAAGCTTCCCAAGTGATAACTGATTCATTAGTGCTGATGCCCCATCCCAGTGATCATTTTATGATCATTTTATTTCAACTTTTTAGTACGGAAAATTTCAAACATACATAAAATGAGCAGAACTGCACAATAAACCCTGTTTATCCATCAGCCAACTTCAACAATCATCAGAATTATGCTACGCTTGTATCATCTGTACCTCCACCCACACCTCGGGCTTTTTTTTTAACTGTTCATTTGTTCCTTTTAGGTAAAATTTACATAAATTAAAAATCACAAATCCTAGCTGTACTATTTCGACAATTGGATAAACCTGGTAACGCATACCCTTATCACAATATAGAATATTTCCATCTCCCCAGAAAGTTCCCCCTCCCTGGCAATTCTCTCCCATCCTCGTCCAAGAAACAGCCACAGTTCTGATTTTTTTTAACTTTGGTTTTGCCTATTCCTGAACTTCTATAAATGGATTCACACAGTATATAGTTTTCTGTGACCATCTTCTTTTACACAGCATAATGTCTGTGAGATTCATCCATGTTGCTGCCTGCATTAGTTGTTGGTTCATTTTTGTTGTTGTTAAGTAGTATACCATGGTATGAATTCCATATCACAATCTGTTTATTCTTTCTCTTATTGATGGATAAGAGTGGTTCAGTGGTTTCTAGTTTTTAACTATTGTAATGAAAGCTTCTTTGAAAATTTTTGTACAAGTCTTTTTGTGGACATATGTGTTCATTTCTCTTGAAGAGAATACCCAGGAGTAGATTGCTAGGTCAAAGGGTAGTTGTAAATTTAACTCTAAAGTTTAACCTTTTTCCAAAGTAATCATACTGTTACTCCTTTTTAAATTGCATATTTTGTTTTGA